GCCTGGCCAGCAGAAGAAAAGAGATGGAAAAAGGCAACACGAGGTGATCCTTGCCTTAATAATCTGTATCAACCATTTGGGGCAACTCTCAGAAGATGTGTGGACTTCAACTCCCAGAATTCCTCAGCCAGGCACGCTGGCTGAGGAATTCTGGGAGTTGAAGTCCACAAGTCATAAAAGGGCCAAGTTTGAAGACCCCCTGCTCTTAAATGTCTGTAATTGTTAACTTTGATCACTTAAAGATGACTCGTTTGCCAGACTGGGTGTTTTTAACCTGGTGAAATATTAATCCACCAGTGACTGTAAACAAAAACCGAAAAGTCACATTCTGAGGTAAAATATATATATATAAATATACAGGTAGTCCTCGATTTATGACCACAATTGAGCCCCAAATTTCTGTTGCTAAGTGAGACACGTGCCTGGCTGAGGAATTCTGGGAGTTGAAGTCCACAGGTCATAAAAGGGCCAAGTTTGAAGACCCCTGATATAGACTTTAAGAGGAGTGGACTTCAACTCCCAGAATTCCTCAGCTAGGCACGCTGGCTGAGGAATTCTGGGAGTTGAAGTCCACAAGTCATCAAAGGGCCACGTTTGAAGACCCCTGATATAGACTTTAAGAGGAGTGGACTTCAACTCCCAGAATTCCTCAGCCAGGCACGCTGGCTGAGGAATTCTGGGAGTTGAAGTCCACAAGTCATAAAAGGGCCAAGTTTGAAGACCCCTGGTCTAATCTGTATCAACCATTTGAGGCAACTCCCAGAAGACGTGTGGACTTCAACTCCCAGAATTCCCCAGTCAACCTTGCTGACTGGGGAATTCTGGGAGTTGAAGTCCACACCTCTTAACACCTTGAAGGCTGAGAAAGACTGAGGTAATTGTATTGCTTTCACTATCTTTGAAAATCTGCCGAAGCTTCCAAGCAGATTTTGCCTAGAGGCTTCTTCAAAAAGAGGCGGCCTCTGAGGAGAAAAGCCATTTTCAAATCAGGAGAGCGCTGGGTCTGTCTCTCTCCGTCTTTTTCCATTTCAGGAATGACTTGATGGAATCAGAAGAACATCTTGGTGGAGACCCCAGATGGTCAAGAGGGAGAGATGGGAGGCCCTTGCCTTCTGGCTCGCTCTTTCGAAGGCCATCTCTTGGGTTTCTCTGCATCTGTGAATGCTATCAAAACCTGGAAGTAACCAGCAGTCGGAGTTCTCAGAATGAATTTCCCAAAACAGTAGAGCCACTTGAAGGAAATATTCACGGCTCTGGGTTGAAATACGGGGTCCTTGGTGCTCTCTGAGCTTGGTGGTTTTCTTGCAGACGTTTCATGACCCAACTAGTTGACATCATCAGTGCTAGAAGGGAGAGGAGGAGGAGGAGGACGAGGACGAGGACGAGGACTGTGGGGTCCTTGGTGCTCTCTGAGCTTGGTGGTTTTCTTGCAGACGTCTCATGACCCAACTAGATAACATCATCAGTGCTAGAAGGGAGTGGGATTGTGGGAAGGAGGAAGAGGAAGAGGAAGAGGAAGAGGAGGACTGTGGGGTCCTTGGTGCTCTCTGAGCTTGGTGGTTTCCTTGCAGACATGTCATGACCCAACTAAGTGACATCATCAGTGCTAGAAGGGATGGGATTGTGAGGAGGAGGAGGAGGAGGAGGAGAAGGAGGAGGAGGAAGATTTGTGGACAGGAGGAAGAAGGAGAAGGAGAAGGAGAAGGAGGGTCTTTCGTGCTCTCTGAGCTTGGTGGTTTTCTGGCAGACGTCTCAGGACCCAACTAGGTGACATCATCAGTGCTAGAAGCAGTGGGATTGTGGGGAGGAGCAGGAGCAGGAGGGAGAGGAGGAAGAGGAGGAGGACTCAGGGATCCTTGGTGCTCTCCGAGCTTGGTGGTTTTCTTGCAGACGTCTCATGACCCAACTAGATAGCATCATCAGTGCTAGAAGGGAGTGGCTTCGCTCTCTTTTTATCTAGTAGTGGTTTGCCCTCTCAATGCTGATGGGAGTGTTCACCAGGCACCATCAGAAACAACCCCCCAAGACAGGACAAGCCACCAGCTACTTGCATGTAACCAGAGAGGCAAACCCACTTCCTCCTAGCCCTGATGATGTGACATAGTTGGGTCAATCAGACACGCCACTTCATGGGCTCCGGATCACCTTGGGGTCCCCAGGCCCGTGGGCAGAACCAGGTCTTATCTCCGCAGGGATGACGTTCCACAGGGAAGGAGCCACCACGGAGATGGCCCTTTCTCTGGGTCCCACCAGATGGAGCCCCTTAAGAGGGGGATCCCTAACACCCCTTGCCTGCCTGCTCCCCTAGGTCGGGGAGACGTAACTGGGAAAAGACGGTTTTTCAAACAACCTGGTTCCAAGACAGGTAGGGCTTTCAAAGGTGATAGCTTCACCTTTAATTGGAGCCGGGCGCAAACTGGCAACCGATGCAGTTTCCGCAGGAGAAGTAACACCTGATTACAGATTTACCTCTGTTCCTATGTAAGCCGCCTCTCTCTGCAGCAGAAAAAAGCTTAAGTCTAACTAATGTGGTCGTAAGTCGAGGAATAAAGACCTTCGGGTTTTTTTTATTGGCAGGGAAGACAAAATTTTGGCCGTCGCCCTAACAGGGAGTCTATAAAGACGCGGCTGATTGTTGGGAAATTCAGGATTGACAGTCAGCCACTCTCTGCAGAAAAAAACCGGAAGGGATTTATTTCTCGCCAGCCCAGCCAGGCAGGAAAGCCTATCATCCCCGGCCATCGGTGCCCCTTGCGAGGAACGGACCTAGGGTGACTTTGGCCCTAGCCTGGAAAGTCGCTTTCCAGCTCTGCAGCTGGTTGTGTGAAGGCAAGGACAAAGCAACACAACCGCCTGCCTCTTTGCTTTCTCTGCACGCCAGCGGTTCTGAATCCACCTTTTCTGCTACAGCCAACAACATCCTTCATGGCTGATGCTATTTTCGGGTGTCTGTGTCTGTGTGTGTGTGTGTGTGTCTGTGTGAGTGTGTGTGTGTGTGTGTGTGTGTGTGTGTGTGTGTGTGTGCAAAACCCGCTGTGTAAAAAAATAAACACGGCCCCAAGCACTGGAGAACTGTGATGGCGAGGAGAGTAGCAACATGGGAATTAAAAAGGTGTCGAGAATCCTTGCCAAAATTGAAGCAGGATTGGACAGAGGTTCCTATTTGTTAGCACTTGGCCTGCAAGCGGATCTGGTCCAGGGGTGAAGGCAGACTGGGAGACTGGGAGATCTAGTCCCGCCTTAGGCATGAAACTTGGCTGGGTGACTTTGGGCCAATCACCAGGTGATAGTGAGTTCTAGTCCCGCCTTAGCCATGAAAGTCAACTGGGTGCTTTTGGGCCAATCACCAGGTGACAGTGAGTTCTAGTCCCGCCTTAGGCATGAAAGTCGTCTGGGTGACTTTGGGCCAATCACCAGGTGACAGTGAGTTCTAGTCCTGCCTTAGGCATTAAAGTCGGCTGGGTGACTTTGGGCCAATCACCAGGTGACAGTGAGTTCTAGTCCTGATTTAGGCATGAAAGTCAGCTGGGTGCCTTTGGGCCAATCACCAGGTGACAGTGAGTTCTAGTCCTGATTTAGGCATGAAAGTCAGCTGGGTGCCTTTGGGCCAATCACCAGGTGACAGTGAGTTCTAGTCCCGCCTTAGGCATGAAAGTCAGCTGGGTGCCTTTGGGCCAATCACCAGGAGACGGTGAATTCTAGTCCCACCTTAGGCATAAAAGCCAGCTGGGTGACTTTGGGCCAATCACTAGGAGACGGTGAGTTCTAGTCCCGCCTTACGAGTGAAAGCTTGCTGGGTGACTTTGGCTAATCACCAGGTGACAGTGAGTTCTAGTCCTGCCTTAGGCATGAAAGTCGGCTGGGTGACTTTGGGCCAATCACCAGGTGACAGTGAGTTCTAGTCCTGATTTAGGCATGAATGCCGGCTGGGTGCCTTTGGGCCAATCACCAGGTGACAGTGAGTTCTAGTCCCGCCTTAGGCATGAAAGTCAGCTGGGTGACTGTGGAATCACCAGGAGACGGTGAATTCTAGTCCCACCTTAGGCATAAAAGCCAGCTGGGTGACTTTGGGCCAATCACTAGGAGACGGTGAGTTCTAGTCCCGCCTTACGAGTGAAAGCTGGCTGGGTGACTTTGGGCAAATCACCAGAAGACAGTGAGTTCTAGTCCTGTCTTAGGAATGAAAGTCAAATTGGGTGCCTTTGGGCCAATCACCAGGTGCCAGTGAGTTCTAGTCCCGCCTTAGCCGTGAAAGTCAGCTGGGTGCCTTTTGGCCAGTCACTTTCTCTCAGCACAGTCTACCTCACAGGGTTGATGTTGTGGGGAAAATAGGAGGAAGGAGTTTTATGTGCCTTCGGTTATTTAAAAAATAATAAAAGTGGAATGTGAACGAACGAACGGCCCGCAATGAATTCAAGTCAGCTCAGGATGGGTATTTTATTTTTTACCAGATTTACCTCCCTCTTTGGTTTGGTACAACTCAAAGTGTGGCTTATACTTAGTGCTCTTGCCTTCTACTTTCCCCATAACAACAGCCCTGTGAGGTGGGCTATAGGCTGAGAGAAAAAGGGAGAGACTGGCCCGAAGTCACCCAGCCGGCTTCTGTGCTTTAGAGAGGACTAAAACTCCCACTCGCTTAGTTTTCAGTCCAGTATTCTAGGTGGTCCTTGACTTACGACCGTGATTGGCAGTCATTGCGATTGTATGTCGAGACATCATGGGACTGGACTGGATTTTTTTGACAGTTTTTGCTGGGGGGGGGAAGCGAGTCAATTATCCCCCCCCATGGGTTTTCTTAATCAGAAGCGGGAAATCAACGCCAGAAACCGGCCAAAACCATTGCAAACTGAGGCGGGACGGCCGTAAAGGTGAGCTGGTGGCCAAGCGCTGGAAAAGTGATTACGGTGTATGACAGGGGTCTTCAAACCTGGCCCTTTGATGACTTGTGGACTTCAACTCCCAGAATTCCTCAGCCAGCCCTTCCTCCTGCTTCCTTCCTTCCTTCCTTCTTCTCTCCCTCCCTCCCTCCTGATTCCTTCCTTCCTTCCTTCCCTCCCTCCCTCCTTCCTTCCTTCCTTCCTTCCTTCCTTCCTTCCTTCCTTCCTTCCTTCCTTCCTTCCTTCTTTCCTTCCTTCTTTCCTTCCTTCCTTCCTTCCTTCCTTCTTTCCTTCCTTCCTTCCTTCCTTCCTCCCTCTTGATTCCTTCCATCCTTCCTTCCTCTCTCTCTCCCTCCTTATTCCTTTCTTCCCTCCCTCCTTCCTTCCTNATGTAGAACCTTACTTTTTTCACCATTGAATTTCATTTTGTTAGATAGCGCCCAGTGTTCAAGTCTGTCCAGATCCTCCTGTATCCTAAGCCTGTCTTCTGGAGTGTTGGCTATTCCTGCCAGCTTGGTGTCGTCTGCAAATTTGATGAGTTCCCCATCTATCCCCTCGTCCAAATCGTTGATGAAGATGTTGAAGAGCCCAGAACAGAGCCCTGGGGCACCCCACTACACACTTCGCTCCATGTAGATGCGGTTCCATTGAGAACCACACGCTGAGTACAGCCGGTCAGGCAGCTACGAATCATCCAGTCTAAACCGCACAAGTCAGGAATTGCAATGAAAGAAAAAATAAATAAATCCCAGACTCTTGGCTGTTCAACCTTTGGAGATGTGGCAGAGACAGCAAGAGACTGTGAAGGAAATATAATAAAAGCCCCAATTAAAAAGGATAAAACCACTGGATGAATATTTCTTCTTTGACAGAGGTTTTCTAGGTTGATTCATCGGCTTGTTCGCAGACTTATTTCTCCTTGCTATATATGTAGGCTACTGGGTTAGCTAAAAGCAGAAAAACCATTAAGAATAGAATAGAACAGAACAGAACAGAACAGAACAGGACAGGACAGGACAGGACAGGACAGGACAGGACAGGACAGTGGTGGTGAACCTATGGCACGGGTGCCAGAGGCGGCACTCAGAGCCCTCTCTGTGGGCACGCGCACCGTCGCCCCAGTCCTAGGCCTTCAGCTGGGTTTTATAAAACCTTTTCGCTTTAGGCCTCCGACGCCGCCATGTGCAAAAAAAAAAAAAAAAAGTTTCCATCAGTCAATTTCAACTTCTCGCGGGAAAAAAAAAAGATCTTGCAAAGTTGGAATTGATTGATTGAACTTTTTAGTCCCACCCAGTCTCCGTTACCACCGCAGCCACGCCCACCCAATGGGCCACGCCCACCCAATGGGCCACACCCATTACTCGGTCTCTAAAAGGTTCGCCATCACTGGGATAGAATATGGAAAGGATAGGATAGGATAGGATAGGATAGGATAGGATAGGATAGGATAGAGAATGGAATGGATAGAGAATGGAATGGATAGAGAAGAGAAGAGAAGAGAAGAGAAGAGAAGAGAAGAGAAGAGAAGAGAAGAGAAGAGAAGAGAAGAGAAGAGAAGAGAAGAATATGGAATGAATAGAATATAGAATAGGATAGGATAGAGAATGGAATGGATAGAGAATAGAATAGAATAGAATAGAATAGAATAGAATAGAAGAGAAGAGAAGAGAAGAAGAGAAGAGAAGAGTAGAAGAGAAGAAGAAGGGAAGGGAAGGGAAGGGAAGGGAAGAGAAGAGAAGAGAAGAGAAGAGAAGAGAAGAGAAGAGAAGAGAAGAGAAGAGAATAATATGGAATGAATAGAAGATAGAATAGGACAGGATAGGACAGAATAGAATAGAATAGAATAGAGAATGGAATAGATAGAGAATAGAATATAGAACAGAACAGAACAGAATAGAATTCTACTCCATTTCTTTCCTGGGGACATTTCTCCAACAGTCAACCAGCATTTGACTTCCTGTCACTTAAATCTCTGGTTCTGTGACAGCCATTCCAGACTCAGGTTCCCACAGGAGCGTCACAAATATGAAGAAGCAACTTTGTGCAGCTGCAGGCACCGGCTTCATTTTTCTGGCTGCCGCCTCCCCGGAGATGCTTGTGTTTCAAAACGTTTAGGAGAGCGATTATATCCCTGTTCACTTTTTTTTTTCCCTGGGGACTAAAGCTAGCCAGAAACTCTGAACTGTCTCCATGGAAGTGAATGGAGCCGTTTCAGTGCTACAGAGCTAGTCCACAATTTACAACCATTGATTTTTTTTTTTGACTCAGAGGTTACAACAGTACTGAAAAAAGTGAGTTATGATTGTTTTTCACATGACCTCAACTCCCAGAATCCCCCAGCCAGTAAGCTTTAAGATGGATGGACTTCAATTCCCAGAATCCTCCAGCCAGCAAGCTTTAAGATGGGGGGACTTCAATTCCCAGAATTCCCCAGCCAGCAAGCCTTAAGATGGGTGGACTTCAACTCCCAGAATTCCTTTGCTGGCTGGGGAATTCTGGGAGTTGAAGTCCCCCCATCTTAAACTGCCCAAGGTTGAGGAACTACAGAGCACAAAGTGAAACTTTCTGCTGAGGAGAGAAAACCTGGAGCCTGTCTCGGCCGGGCGACCTCCCTCTGATGGAATTGTCTAATGGAGCATGTGCGGAGTCCATTTCCCATGCCTCTGTCACCTTGAACCCCACTCGGCGAGCGGAAAGCGGGAAACCAGGATTGATCGGCCAATTACCCAGCATAATGGTATTCCTAATTAGGGCCCTTGCAGAACATATGATGTGTTCTCTTGGAAGTGGCTGGAGCCGTCCATCTTTGTCGGCAAGGCGCAGGGGAAACCGAGGCGGCCTTTGGGAAAATGCTACCCCGGGGCTAATCACGCTCCCCGGATGACCATCTTAGAAAAGATCTCAAGAAATGGGGAAGAGAGTTGTGCTCTTCTGAGCATGCGCCGAGGGCCGCTTTTGTACAAAGAGGACTAGAAAAGAATCAGTGAGGTCTAGTCTAGTGGTTAAGGCAGGAGTCTAGAACTGCCTTAGGAGTGAAAGAAGACTGGGTGACTTTGGGCTAATCACCAGGAGACGGTGAGTTCTAGTCCCATCTTAGGCATGAAAGCCGGCTGAGTGACTTTGGGCCAATCACCAGGAGACGGTGAGTTCTAGTCCTGCCTTAGGAAGGAAAGCCGACTGGGTGACTTTGGGCCAATCACCAGGAGACGGTGAGTTCTAGTCCCGCCTTAGGCATGAAAGCTGATAGGGTGACTTTGGGCCAATCACCAGGAGACGGTGAGTTCTAGTCCCACCTTAGGCATGAAAGCTGATAGGGTGACTTTGGGCCAATCACCAGGAGACGGTGAGTTCTAGTCCCACCTTAGGCATGAAAGCTGACAGGGTGACTTTGGGCCAATCACCAGGAGGGTGTGAGTTCTAGTCCCGCCTTATCATGAAAGCCGGCTGGGTGACTTTGGGCCAATCACCAGGAGACGGTGAGTTCTAGTCCCGCCTTAGGCATGAAAGCTGATAGGGTGACTTTGGGCCAATCACCAGGAGATGGCGAGTTCTAGTCCCGCCTTAGGCATGAAAGCTGATAGGGTGACTTTGGGCCAATCACCAGGAGACGGTGAGTTCTAGTCCCACCTTAGGCATGAAAGCTGATAGGGTGACTTTGGGCCAATCACCAGGAGACGGTGAGTTCTAATCCTGCCTTAGCCATGAAAGCCAGCTAGTGACTTTGGGCCAGTCCCAACCCTCTCTGTCAGCCCAACCTACCTCACAGGGTTGTTGTTGTGGGAAAAATAGGAGAAGGAAGGAGTATCAGGATTGTTCGCCACCTCAAGTTACTTAAAAAAGTAAGTCAGGTAAGATTCAGAAAACCTAATAAATTAAAAGGGCTTTCTTAATTTCCCCCAGGTTGCAACAATATGGCGTCCCGTCATTTTCACGCCTTACCTGCCGTGATGGACGCCAGCCGGACATAGTCAAACCCCCTTACAAAGGGCTCGTAGGGAGAGCTTTCCATGACGTTCATACCTAAAGGGAGAAAATATATATACATGGGAAAAGAATGCCAAGGCTTTTATCCTGCATATTATTTATTACATGAATTTAATAAAACCCAACCCTCTGCCACCGCCCGGGGGCCTCTTTGAGAAGGGAAGCCCAATTCAAAGCAGATTACAAGGGTGGCTTAAATGCAGAAAGCATGAAGGGCACACGGGAAAGTCCACCGGCCCCTTATCGTCCTTGGACAGATGTCAAATGCCTTTTAGAAGTTCTCCATGTGGACCAGTGTGTTTCAAAGCTGGCCGTTTGAAGATGGAAGACTTCAACTCCCAGAATCCCCCAGCCTGCCAGTCTTAAGATGGGTGGACTTCAATTCCCGTCAATTCATTCTCTCCTTTTTTCTTCTTTTCTTCCTTCCCTTCCTTCCTTCCTTCTCTCCTTTTTTCTTTCTTCCTTTCTTCCTTCCTTCCTTCTCTTTTTTCTTTTTTCTTTCTTTCTCCCTTCCTTCCTTCCCTTCCCTCCCTCCCTCCTTCCTTTTTTTCTTTCTTTCTTCCTTCCTTTCCCTTCCCTCCCTCCCTCCTTCCTTCCTTTTTTATTCCTTCCCTTCCCTTCCCTTCCCTTCCTCCCTCTCTCCTTTCTTCCTTCCCTTCCCTTCCCTTCCCTTCCTCCCTCTCTCCTTTCTTCCTTCCCTTCCCTCCCTCATACTTTCCTTCCTTCCTTCCTTCCCTTCCTCTCTCCTTTCTTCCTTCCCTTCCCTCCCTCATACTTTCCTTCCTTCCTTCCCTTCCTCCCTCTCTCCTTTCTTCCTTCCCTTCCCTCCCTCATACTTTCCTTCCTTCCTTCCTTCCTTCCTTCCTTCCTTCCTTCCTTCCTTCCTCCCTCCCTCCCTCCCTCCCTCCCTCCCTTCCCTTCCTCATTCTCTCCTTCCTTCCTCTCCTCTCCTCCCCTCTCCAAACCTCTTCTCTTTTCCCCTCCCCTCCCCCTTTTCTCTTTTATCTTCCCTCCCCTCCCCATCTATTTTCTCTCTGCTCTCTTTCTAAACCTGGGTTGGAGCTATTTTGAACAATAGGCTGTTTAACTATCCCTTGTTTTCCGAGGCAGTAAAATGTGCATATGTGATATATCTCTATTCCCGAGCAGGGGAAAAAAAAAATCTATAATTGTTCAAATAAACTAAGGCATATTGCTTCAGACGGATGCCACAGACAGAAGAAACCCAGAGAGAAATGTTAGCGCCCCTGTAAATCAAGTTGTTTTTTTATTGTTATGCAAAAAATAAAATAAAATACTACATATCATTTAAAAGAAAGTAACTGAATACTCAAGGGCCAGAGAAAGAAAAAGGCTAAAATATTTTTTTTTATGAAGCTCTTCCATTTTGCTGCTCTATAAAATAACTTCTGGATCTTGGATACATGATTCCTGCCCCTCAAATTACTTCCTGCACGGTGCAGGGTAGAAGAAGGATCACCTGGTGTCCTACTTTCCATCTCTGTTTGGCTATTTGACACACTCTCTTTGGGGTCGAGTGTGCTAATTGCTCACAAGTTTGGTTCCAGCAGCTCCGGTTAAGTTTTGTGTTGTTTAGATAGATGTTAAATAGATCTAAAGGTATAGGTAGATATATCACCTCTCCTTTATTTTGCACGCTCTTTAATCTCTCTTCTTTTGATCTTTGCTGATGTTTATTCAATAAATAGCATCCCTATTTATTTAGTAAATAAATAATTTCCCTCTAGACTAGGAACTGAGTGGTGGGTGCGATGGCTCTGATTTGGATGGAGCAAGGCTTCTCAACCTGGGCAGCTTAAAGATGAGCAGGCTTCCTCTCCCAGAATTCCCCAGCCAGCATGTCTGCAGCATGGCCTTCCTTCCTTCCTTCCTTCCTTCTTTCCTTCCTTCCTTTGTTCTTTCCTTCACCCTCCGTTTCCCTTTCTTTCCCTTTCTTTTTTTGTTCTCTTTTCTTTTTCTTCTCCTGCATTCCTTTCCTTTCTTCCTTTTCTTTTCCCTTCCTTCCTTCCCTCCCTTTCTTCTTCTTTCCTTCCTTCCTTCCTTCCATCCAACCATCTATTGTATTCCTTCCTTCCTATCCATCAACCATCCATAATATTCCTCCCTCCCTCCCTCCCTTCCTTCACATACCTGCCTATATCCATCCAACCATCCATTGTATTCCTTCCTTCTTTCCTCTCTCCCTCCCTCCCTTCCTTCCCTATCCATCAACCATCCATTATATTCCTTGCTTCCTTCTTCCTTCCCTCCTTCCCTCCCTCCCTTCCTTTGCCTCCCTGCCTATATTCATGCAACCATCCACTGTATTCTTGTTCTAACTGTCAGGAAGTTTCTCCTTAGTTCTAGGTTGCTTCTCTCCTTGAGTAGTTTCCATCCGTTGCTTCTTGTCCTGCCTTCAGGTGGTTTGGAAAATAGCTTGACTCCCTCTTCTTTGGAGCAGCCCCTGAGATATTGGAACACTGCTATCCTGTCCCCCCTCGTCCTTCTCTTCATTAAACTAGACATCCCCAATTCCATCAACCGTTCCTTATATGTTTTAGCCTCCAGTCCCCTGATCATCTCTGTTGCTCTTTTCTGCACTCTTTCTAGAGTCTCAACATCTTTTTTTTATATTGTGGCGACCAAAACTGGATGCCGTATTCCAAGTATCCTATATTTTCCTAAAAGAGTTTAAACCTGAATTTCCCATCCCCAGAAGCCAGGTGTTTTCTTTCTTTCTTTCTTTCTTTCTTTCTTTCTTTCTTTCTTTCTTTCTTTCTTTCTTTCTTTCTTTCTCTCTCTCTCTCTCTCTCTCTCTCTCTCTCTCTCTCTCTCTCTCTCTCTCTCTCTCTCTCTCTCTCTCTCTCTCTCTCTCTCTCTCTCTCTCTCTCTCTCTCTCTCTCTCTCTCTCTCTCTCTCTCCATCAAGTCTCCTTCTGAGATTTTTCTGCAAATTAGACCCTTTTGGCAGGAAAGGACAAAACACCCAGACACCCCCCCCCCAGGGCTGAGTGTTTAGTTACTTCCTATCACACCCATTTTCACGCCTGCAGGGAAGGTTTTTGCACCAGGTTTCCGCCAATCGATCGTTCTACTACTCTGATCAGGCCAGCCGTTATGGGGAGCATTGTGGACCCCATTTTTCCTCTCTCCCCGACAACTGCATGGCCCCTGCCCAGACAGGCAGTCCTCGGCTTACAGCCGTTTATTTACTGACCGTTTGAAAAAACTACACCTATGACTGTTTTTTTCTACATTTCTGACCATTGCAGCATCAAAATTCAGAGGCTTGGCAACTGACTCATATTTATGACGGTCGCAGCGTCCTGGGGATGTCAGGTGATCCCCTTTTGCGACCTTCTGACAAGCCAAATCAGTGGGGGAGCCAGATTCACTTAACAACCCATGTTACTCACTTAACAACATGCCATGATTCACTTAACAACTCTGGCAGGAAAGGTCATAAAATGGGTCAAAATTTGCTTAACAAATGTCTCCCTTGGTGACGTACATTTGGGGCTCAATTGGGGTCATAAGTCGAGGACATCCCGTGGTTTTATATAAATAAATGTATTTTACATCGAAATATACAATAAGCAAGATGGTCCTGCCCATCGCTACATCCTGAGGTAAATCGTCAGGTAAATCGCAGAACAGCCTGCAGAGCACACAGAATTAAAAAAAAAAAAAGGCGGGAAAAAAGGGAAACTCCCCCTTCTCACCCAGCAACCAATCATAAGGTAGATTGCCTCATGCGGAAGCCCGCCCTCTCCAATCAATCAATCAATCAATCACAACTCTTGTCTTCTGGCTCATTCTAAAGTACCCTTCATTTTCCAGCTATTAAATTAAATATCTTAAGAGTTTGTCACACTTAATGACGGTTGCAGCATCCTCCTGGTCACGTGATCAAAATTCAGAGGCTCGGCAACTGGCTCATATTTATGACGGTCGCAGCGTCCTGGGGGTGTCACGCGATCCCCTTTCACAACCGTCTGACAAGCCAAGTCAATGGGGAAGCCAAATTCACTTAACAACCGTGTTACTCACTTAACTACTTGCAATGATTCATTTAACAAATGGCGAGAAAGGTCGTAAAATGAGGCAAAATTCACTGAACAAATATTTCATTTAGCCACATAAATTTGGGACCCAGTTGTGGTTGTGTAACGCGAAGACCACCTGTAGTTTCAGATCAGAGTTGGAAGATGGCAGGGCTGCGGCAGGGGGTTGGACTAGATGGCCTCCGAGGTCCCTTCCAACTCTGCTGATGTTCTAGGAGAGAAACAATCCTGGGAGGCTTTAATCCAATCCCATTAAAGCAGACTTAGAATGCAGCTAAGTCCTCGACTTGCAACCGTTCATTTAGTGACCGTTCAAAGTTACAACAGCGCTGGAAAAAGCGACGTACGACCCGTTTTCACACTTAACGACCGTCGCAGCATCCCCGTGGTCACGGGATCAAAAATTCAGAAGCTCGGCGACTGACTCACATTTATGACGGTCGCAGCGTCCCCGGAAGGGGGGGGTCACGTGACCCCCCCTTTTGCAACCTTCCAACCAGCCAAGTCAATGGGGGGAGGGGGGAAGCCAGATCCACTTAACAAACACCTTCCTAACTTAACCACTGCAGCGTCTCGCTTAACGACCGCGGCGAGAAAAGCGGTCAAACTCCCTTCGCAAAATGCCTCACTTAGCAGCATAAATGTCGGGCTGGTTCAGGCGAGGACTAATCTGTATCCTGGTGCTACCCCTGCCCCCCCCCCCAAAAAAAACAAACCCACCCCATCTTTGCTTTCTTCGGAGTTGAGTAAATAACACGCTCGGCCGAGTGGCAAGACCCAGGCTGCGGAGATAATTGATTGTGTAAAATGATAACTCGCAAGCCTTTGTGGCCTCCGGAGGCCGTGTCTGTGTCTGTGTGTGTGTGTGTGTGTGTAAGTTGACGCTTTGCAAACGTGTCTATATTGTCTCTGGCTCCTCGGATGGGGACTCATCCATCACTTAAACGTCGGGAGACAAGGCGGCAGCAGTG